GGCATCAGCCGGGCGAGCCGCTGGTAACAGCTTAAAACTTGTAAAAAGCCTTCAGCCTTGCGGTTCACTGCCGATATCGGCTAACCGGCTCATCACGTTGAACGTGTGAGTGCTTGAAGGCAATGGCACAAATAGCCATTGAGCTGAGAGTGCAAGAGTAGCGGTAGCGTAATAGGGAACGCAGTCGCACGGAAAGCGGAAGATGCGGGTTCGAATCCCGCCCGTGGTCCGACTTTTGCCCACAACTCAGCATTCTTGTGAGGGACGGAGCTTTTTCGGTTGACAGATATCCTGATCGTGAGGCCATCACCAGCATGACTCGCACAATAGCCCAACTCGTACTGTCAAAATAGGTTTGAAAATTAACAGGTCACCAACCTCTCGATCACCAGAATCACGACAAAATTCCAGAAATTTATTCAAATCACAAGAACAAGTAGTATTAGTGAATATTGTATTGTTTTGTGCGAAAGTTTGAATATGACATGTTAGAAAGCGGTCATATTTCACGATAAGAATCTTGGTCATCCTTTGTTTCTGGTTTCAGCTCAATCCGCACCACTTCTGGACTAGAACTGTCCTGAAAAGTGGTTCAATAAATTCTCCATGTTGGATCACACACGCTTCAGCTTGCCATCCGTGTGAAGAGGAGCGGTCAAAGAACTTAAATATAAGCATAGCGGCGTTAGACAGCTGCCGATTCAGTCAGCGGCAGACGGTGCGTGTGTAGAACTTAAATATAAGCATAGCGGCGTTAGACAGCTGCCGATTCAGTCAGCGGCAGACGGTGCGTGTGCTTAAGAAAGCGCAGACGGCATGAGAAAATGCTGATACTATACGCCTATCACTTCCTCTTCGAACTAGTTTTTAGTAGTGGCAGTCGTCTGCGAAAACGCAAGCGCTCGCCGCGCTCACAACTAAGTACATTGACACGCCCCCCTCATCTTCGAGATATGGTGTGCATGTAGTGTCAGCATAATACCTGGCTGGCTTGCTTAGTAGCTTGGCCGGATTGCAACGCGTCCGCTGCTTTCGCTTCCGCCGCCATCCTCTCCGCATACGTAAACTCGTTGGCGTAATGCTAGACAGAGTTGCTATAGGGCAATTGAATCAATATATGTCGTCAATGAATCAGAGAAAATGAGTGATTTGAAACTTCGAAATCCTGTTACCTTCTAGAAGATAGGGTCAGTGACGTCACAGAACGTGACGTCTCTTGAGAACGGCTCAGCTCCCAACTACCAAAGGTAACAAACCCCTGCTACACCTGTTCCCAAAAATCTCAAAAGGCTCACGAACCGCGTCACGAAGAGCATGAAATTGGTCTTGTTCACCAGTGCTTGCGTTATCTCCGGGGAATGGTGTAGGCGGTTCTGGCTGAAATTTTACAATAATTACCTCTCCAAATCATGCAGTTATGGAAATAGTGCTTCATTACGTCGAAGAGATGACCCATAGTCAAAGCGCGTGGCTGATACGTCTCCATAATGTTCCACTCATCGAATGAGGTACGTTGCTTCCGTGATAAATAGGCGCCATAAAGACGGTTCCACTTAAACGAGCAATTCTAAAACCATTTTTGGAAGAAACAACAAAAATCAATAACCTTTGATCCGTAGCCGCAGGGTGACAAAACAATCGTTATACGCCGCGCTCGGCGTAGCGAGCGACATCGCGCATGCGAGAGATGAGTTACCCTGCTCTGTCGTGCGAATGTGATTTTTGCCACCCAGCGCCACATTCACCGCGCGCGAGGCGCGGCAAGCTACGATCGTCTTACAGACCTCATCGTACGCTCGCGTAAAATCGATACTTATATATTTCACGCAAGCAGCTCGGAAGATGCTAGGACATGAAAAAATTACTTACCTGATAGCACATGGTAATATAAAGGATGACCAGCCATAGTAAAGGATTATAGGAAGAAAGTTCAGCTTTTACAGGAATCGATAACAACAACTGAGCCATAGCAAATGTGCAGGCAACGAGTATTGTGACGCAAAATCTCACGCTGCAAATGATAGTTTGCACAAAATTGACAAGTAACCTCGTCTCAAGCGTACTCATGCGAACCAATCAATAGTGCATAACAAACCACAGGATGTTCACACACGCGTTACGCATGGCACGAGGAACAAATATACCATAGAAAGCTGTTCAACAAAGAAAGCCACACTAGTGAATATCATTGTGAGTAGAGCTCAGATCAACATCAGATGTTTATGAACATATCAAAATGATACAGTATCTTACAGTCACATTATTTCAAAACAGTAAGGTTAACTTGAATTCCAAGGAGATCGATGGAAACAGAAAAAAAGATCGTTGAGAATAAAACCGGTATGTGAAAGTAAACTGAAAGTAACTTGTGAGCCATCCGCCCAGCAAACAACAACCAAGAGTAAAATAAAATTATGTCGGCATTACAAATTTGTTGAACAAATGCTATTAGAGCCGTCTCAGAGAAAACTGCTAAAGCTATACACATTATATGAAACATTCCTTACAAAAAAGCCACAAAACTACAAATAAATCACGAGGAGCAGGTAAACGGAAGCCAGAAATCATTAAGAGCAGTTATCATAATTAGACGGGAAACGAAAATCATTCAGAGAAAAAGCTTTCTTCATTAAAGAATGGGCACACTCAAGAGAAAAAAATCTGTCTAGGAAAACAGTGCTCAACTCCATACTTTGTACAGCTCCATAGTCTTATAGAACGAAGCGTGTTTCGTAAAGAACTCTCGCACCGGAGAGCTTCCGAGACTATCTTGCTGGTATTTTTCCAATCGATATTTAAGAATGGAAGTAAGCGTCTGAAAGAAACTGATTATGAGATAAAGATGAGATGTGGTTAGGGATGATAGCCTCGGGTTCAAATGAATTTCCACCACCGGAGGAAGAAATCGTGGTGAATAGAAACCTTATTCACCTGAATTGTATGAGGATCAAGAGCCTCCCGCAGATAGATTTCTACCATCTTGCTAATCCGAAAGGTACCGTTCTGCGAATTATGAGACAACCAGTCACCATTACTGCAAATTTTGCTCAACCGATCGGAGAGCAACATCAGAAATTCAGCCTCATCAGCGTCAACTACATCGACCGGCACGACCAACGCCCAGACCTGATTATAAGTAACAAACAGTATACGAGATAACAAGTTTCAGTGGAAAAATAAGGTAAAAACTAAGCGCCCTCCGGAAATAACACGCCTGCGATCGACCGCGCTCCACTGTTAATCGTTGTACCGATGCAACTGCTAATTATAGGCTATATTCCAACCACTGCAGCGCTCTGGCCACTGGCAATCGTTCAAATCGCGCGACTTAATCGCTCGTATTGCAAAGTATAAACGCTGCTTAAAGACCCGCGCTTAAGCAATTCCTAGGCGTCCTTGTACAATTAGTCTACACTTCCTCAGTCTCTGAGATTATCCCGCTTTCGCGGCTTCACAATGAGTAACGAAGGCGCTGCGGCCCTCATAAGTGGCAGTTCTGACGCCTCCTAGTTGCCCCGCCCACCGAAACTCAAAGGGAATTTCTGCACGGGTGCAGTTTTTACATCGTGTTTTTCGTTTTTTACTATTAGATGGTACTGGCGCGCAAAAAACGAGCCGGTGGCTGTAGAATCTCGCATTGCTGGCATTAAACGAGTATGTCCATAGCACTCGTCCAGAGCGGCTACAGGTCCCTACTTAGGGTATTCATTAATTTTTTCTCTTATGCGAAGAATCATTTAGCAACTATAGGTTAGTAATTGAACGAAACCCCACTATCCACAATATACAATCGCGGGGTTTGCCTTTTATACTCTCATCTAGCAGATGATCGGCAACTAGATCCATATATTAGGAAAACTGTAATCTATGAAGCGTTAGCGTTAGAAAGCCGCAGTGGGATACTAACCTTGGGGAGAGGGACGGCGGAACCATTCGGAGGACTCCTGTGAAACTGTGGTCTCCGCGATGAAGATAGGGAGTGCTATCTAATACTAAGCGGAGGAGGGGGGCGGGATGGGGAAGAACTCCTGGATGGTGAACGGATCTAAGTGGCTGTATTCCTCTTCAGATGACGCTCCAGTTTTGCGCAGAGCCCTTTAAAGGCTGTGGGCACGACTCATGGGGGCGGGCGGTTGTCGCTCATGTTATCGGTAGAAGGGCTAAGTGGGGAGGGGCCAAACGCCGTCTTGCAACCTTTGCACCAGTGACGCTGGCAAAAACGGCTTCCCTTCAGCAATCGTGCCCTCTCCTTTTCAATGCCGCCCTCGGGTAATGAGTGCCGCCGGACTTATGCGCATATCTAAGAACAATTCTACCGCTCAGAACAGAAAGAGCCCTCCGTTTCATTATAAGTACCATGTTCCAGAACGTCCTCGTGCTCGTCTAAGATCCCTTACCTCGAGAGGAATATCTTCCTCTGACGGCAAAATAGCTGCACATGCAAGTGTATCGCGTTCGTCTGATGATAAACGCTCCACTGATGTCGTCAATGCCATGTGCATTGATGCGTACTCATAAGAAGTTTTCAGCGTCAATGACGACAAACCGCGTCCATCCAAGCGGCGAGAGAAAGTTGACAGACTGAATAATACAAACACTCAAAGATTTCTTACGAACACTCAAAGATTTCTATGACAGGGATGAGAAAATAAAAATTAATTTAGGGGATAGCCCAGCGGAAATGGCTTTAGCTAATCCAGGGAGTTCGACACACCTAGGCGAAGCAAGAGCAGGTGTCCCTATGGAATCGGTATTGGACCTGTCAGGTGGAAAACAGGCTGGTACCACACCAGATATAGCACCCCAGATACCAGCATCTGCAGCGAACCAGATTATACATGAGGACGGCATAAGGAAACGTCAGTCCAGCTAACATCCCTATCTACCCGCGATGTAAGTGCATATCGCCGCTCACAATCAGACCTAAAAACTCCCCTCCTAAGTCGAGATATGGGCTGCACATGCATAGGAGACAACACCTTCAGCAGCTCTGCTACAAAAGTAAGGTAAGGTAGCAGTTTGTACAAACTACAATCTCACCGATCAGCTCGACCTGAAGCCGCTTTCTTCAACATACTCAACAAAGCAACATTTCCGCTAGAAACTGCAAACGCTGCATTGATGGCTGATTGAATCTGAAGGGACACGTGACGTAGCGTACATAGCTTGAGCTCTAGTTCCACTTACTTCATTCTCTTTGCCTTGCAACGGCGTGCCGTCGATGGAGAACAGTTCCGTGGCTTCACTGGAAGCAAAGCCGCTGACGTGAATAACATCAACAGAACATGAAGCAGCAGCAAATAGCTCAGCATTCCGACTGGTGGCCAGAACACGAAGCTAAAATGAAAGAAGATGCAGTAAGAACCAATTGCTAGTTCAGATTTATTCGTATGCTAGGTGCCAATGCCCACGACTGAAAAACTCACTCCGAGCTGGTTGACCCATTTCACTGTTTCCTCCAGTACAACGTCATCCAAAATAACAAGCACATTTGGGTTGTCAATCAGCGCTTCTTGAATCTTAATAGGGAAAACAATTATTATCGTGATAGAAGGAGAAGGAATGCAAAAGAAGTGATCACCTGCTTACATAGGTACACAGAGGAGACATCGTCCAGTTTTGGAGGATTTGAAGTGGCATCATTCCTGGAAAGTGCTTCTCATGCTAATGAAAGCAAAGCTTGGTCTACTGGGACATGTTTGAAACACCTCCATACGGGCTGGTGATCAAAAAAAAAGAATAAGAGAACAAAAAACAAGCTGGAAGGTGAGCGAGATAACAATGATCGGTCTATAACGAAAGAAATGCGCCACATGACCACCCTCTGCAGAATTGAGATCGCTGACATGTCTTGTCCCTAGATGGGTAAGGCAAATTGAACGGGTGGCGTTCCTTTAGTTCATGACGGCCGTAGCGTCCTTGTACTCTCTGTGCCACCAGAAATCGGGTTAACATCCTAGACAGCAGACTACCCCTACTCGTAGAGAACCTATCTGTGACGTAATCGCAAAGTAAGCGTCTAATACAGAAATATTTGCTACCATTACAACACAGTAACCAGTTCGCAAAAGTCACGCGAGAATCTAGTTTGCACCCTCGCACCGAAATACCTGCTGACGAGCTCCCGAGGAACTAGAAACTGTATGTAAAGCCGCACATACAGACGAAAATCATAATGAGAAAATGCCAACTCACCATAGCATAAGCAGTAGATCAGTGAAGAGCATATGAATGCGATCTGGCTTGGTACGTGAATCCTGTAGCCAAACCACCGACTCAAAACAACTGGAACAGCGGAGTTAGGCGGCGTCCATACTGTGCAATCCGTGGAGAATCGGCGTTTTGGAAAAAACGCCGTTTAAGAAAAGGCGCGAAAAGGAAAGTATAGCTATCGATAGAGGCCCAAAACGCCGGTTATCCTGGACGCCGATTCTCCCAAATTGTAAAGCATGATCGCAGCTTTGTGAGATTAGTCTGAAAACAGTCAATAGAAAAAAAATGCTTCGGAGAGGAGTTTTATGAAAAGGAATCTTCAAGAGGAACACAAACCCTCCTAGAAGATCTGGAACATCGGCTATAACGGCTGCCGCTAATGATGATTTACCACATCCAGCTATTCCATGTAAGACAACAATAAACGAGTCTGTAACACTTGGAATGAATCATGGCAGTACAACAGCTATTAATAACAACGTTATGTGAAGACAGACAAAACAGAGGGAAATGATGCAATCCTGAAATTATCGTAGCTTAAACTTGAACCCTAAAATTAGCAGACTTGGAAAAAAAATTGATCTCACCAAGGTCTGCTCGTTCTCTTAGCACTTTGGCAACATCCTTCTGTAGTTGTTCTCGCCTAACATGCTGCCATACTCTAGGAACGCCTCCAGCCAACAATTTACGAAGTCGAACATGATGGGGAAAATGAGGAACTTTATTGCGCTCGCAACTGAAAACGAAATAAAAAGAAGATATATGAGCTAGAACTGTACAAAAATAGGCGCTGTTCGCTTTGGAGGGAGTACTTCGCACTTTGCTTAATTCCTTCTGTTACTTTCATGTTCAAGACAAACTGGCAGGTCCCACTTCGGTCACCCCTGTAAACTCAGGTGAAGCTGCGAACTTGTTCGAATGAACCCTTTCAACACGGTAATTCACAGGTTGTCACAATGTGGCCTACACAAGCCTGGTACCATTCCTGCCCTATCAAACCGAACTGCGCCCAAAAATACTGCTGAATCCATTACGGAACTACCTGTCTAACACATGCTCTAGATCCGTTCGTAATAAATTGGCAATATGTTCTTGGCCAGCAAAGTCGAAGTATGAAATAAGCAGTTCACAATCCGTTGCCCGTCTTCGGTATATCCGTAACAATTCTCTTAAGCGTTCCAGTCGCGTTGGCTGCAAATGGTATGTGCAATGTATGGTAAATCACAGGATTACAAGTGCCGTGCCTACTACCCTCTAAGGTGAGCCGATGTCGCCGCAGCCAGTCGGGGCGGGGTCACGAGGGCGGGGGACTAGCCAGCGTCCGGCTCGCTTTTCTACCAAAAGTGATCGATTAGTGATCGATTTCGGGAGGAGAACATCCCTGTTGAAAACGCTCCGGATGGGCTCATTACATGCCTCTTAACAGGGGGTGGCCCACGATGAGAAGACCGCGCCAGGTGAACGCTCATAATGTTGGACTGTGCTGAATCGCCCCGAGGCTTACTTGCGACGCACATCGAGACTATGAAAAAATAAAGCCTTCGCCGTTGATCAGTCCATCTGTGGGATGCTGCATGCATTCTACTTCCATTCGGAATTCTAGCGGCTGAATGCGATGTGGTCTATGCTGACTTTCGGGGACCAGTCGAGGTAGAATTCAGTGTTTTTTATCTCCAGACGAATCGGCACCGACTTAAAGGCGAGTCCGCTGATACCAAAGTGAAAGAAACCCTTCAATGAAAACGACCACAGCGGAGTACGGCAACCATAATAGCGGATATCCCACTCTTGCGGCTCGAAATGTATTGATTGACGAGGGCGGAGTCAACAAGGCTGAGCTGACGCCTCCTTCCCTGTTAATCCCGCCCCGACTGGTTAACAGTTATCAGTGCTTGCTGGCATTGATAAACGCTGTTTCTGGAGTTCCGAGCCGGCGACGTGTATTGGAGAACTCACCAAAGGTCTGCGAAACTCGTCCACATGCCTTAAATTTCGTAGGGTCTTATTTCACGCTCTTCCACACCTTTTTCCTACTTTTTTTGATTAGTGCTTCATTGGCCACCTGTTCTAACAAATTTGACCCCTGAGACCTGCCAAAGTCCATCGCGGGCGCTGTCTTTAAGAGGCCCCGGAGGGGTAGAAGGCTTGGTTGGCCTGGGCGAGAGTCGACCCGGGATTTGAACCCAAGACAGCGCGAGCAGTGGGCGCACCACTTGTCACTACACCGCCTCCTCCTTATTAACTATACAACCGACTAATTTTCATGGAGAACGAACGCAGCGAGTCATAATAGCGGACATTCCGTTCTCCGCTCTTCTAGTAGTGGGGCACCTTGATTATGAAGATCGTATTCATTCAAACCACAACGTACACTGCCTTCTAGCATAAAGGATAAGGTGCCCAGCTGATTACGAACAGGACATAGCCTGATACAAACAAATCGCATTCACCCCACGCTTTCATTTCCGCCGCCATCCGGTAAGCTTTGAGCAAAAAAACTCGGCTTTGCAACAGATGCATTCTAACCTCGGCATGACTCAGTGCCGTGCACATGAAAGAAAAGTCCGAGAGAGCTAGCAACGAAATGGTAAATTCAGAAGCTTTGAAGGATCCTTTTCAGTATAGACTTGTACGAACTATTGCACCATAATGCTCCGCCTTACTGAAATGGCCCACAGAACTTTTTGCGAAGTGAGAAATGTAAGTTGCTTGGTATCCGATGCCGGTGTCAACTTCCCGTGTCCCTGTTCTGACCCCTAAAACGGTCACGAAGCCGGCTGCCCTTGTAAAACGCCACTTTTCCAGAGATTTTCATGAAGATATATGGAGTCTATGTAAACAAATCGTAGACCACATACTCTGGCTTCAATCTTCTCTGCAAGATCCGCAGTTATCAGACCAGAACTTTCCAGAAAAATTACAGCATCCTTCGGATCAAAGTCCTTTGCCATTGTGTCAAAAGCGGACGACAAAACCCGACATTCCGGCTCGCTGAGCATTCCGCTTCGCGTAAACGGAATACTACTACTGGTCCTAAAAGTAACAAAACAGAAAACTAAACGAATGGAACGAGTAGATCATGCCAAAACAGTTCAGCCGCTGACCCCCTCAAAAGAAATGCGCAGATAGAAATGACGCACCATTAACGTGTAAGTTGTTCTTGCAAGCTAAAAGTCTGTCTGCTGGGGCGTGTCAATTGGCTTGGCGCCCTTGACACGCTCCAGCATCCGCAGCGAGCAAGACCATACCAGGCAAATGGTTAGACAAAGGCATCTGGTTATTAATGGCAGTTTCACACATAAAAAAAGTCGGAAATGGACGCGAGCGGCTGCGTGGCACACTCTCACCATTACACTGCACTTTGTTCACAGATTGTGGAAGTCTTAGACCCGACAAAAGGATTAGAAACACATTAGAAACAGAAGTAAAGAAAGTAGAAGTTATTTGTGGACTAGTCCATGCAACACACGCATCACAGTAACTTTACAGAGCAAAATTAATTTATTTATACATGAACGCACAAAAATAATCACCGAATTTACTTGAGAACATGTATATTTACCATCAAAACAACAACAGCAACAACAACTTTCATACATGGAAGTGCTAGGCAATTCTTTACACAAAAACAACAAACAAAATCATCATTTGTGATCATAATCCTTATAAAAATCTGTATGCAAGGAATTAAAGCACAGTACACGTAATCGAGATTTTTGAACACGTCCTTTTCACCAGAAGGTGTGAGAGATGAGGTCTGTTGTGCTTGTGGTTGTCGGAGGCATTTCTTCAGCTTGAGATGACGACTGCACTGGAGCAGGAGCAGGAGCAGACACTGCGACAGACACAGAAGCAGGAACAGTGGACGGAATTGAAGCCGAAGCTGAAGCTGGAGTTGGGGCTTGAGCAGGAGCTGGATTAGACGGCTCTTCGGCTACGACTGCTGAGGAGGTGCAATTACCACTTGGGCCACTGTTTGAGGTGATGCACCTCGTGAACCAGGGCCTAGCTGGCGATTTTGTGCAAGCAGTTGTCTTTTGACTGTGACGCCAGTCGCTGAAATAAATCCGTCAGATTTTCCAACTTTAGAAAAAAGAAGTGAGAAATCAGCAAAAAAAAATGCAGAAATCATTAGTTATCTTCAATCAAACCTGAATGAAAAAATAGGAAAAAAGAAAAAAAAACAATCTAGGAGGCCTACACACTGGCTAGAACTAGTAATCATTAATTGAAACTCTAACGAAATAGCCCTCAATGCATATCAACGGAAATATTGCGGTATACTACGCCGCGATTTCGCAAGCAACCTACATAAAAGAAGATGTGGACGAAGAATAGGGAAACCAATGCGAAACCATAGTCGTTAATATGCATCACAAAAATTCTTTTGGACCAGCAATCGAGGATCCCTTACCATATTGCATTCCGAATGTGTCAAGCTGTGCTCGCAGGCGTGGACGCCTTCGGCGCCTGTAATCTAATATGGGTTGGCACAATAGGTACTCCCTTCGCTCTTCTCTTTCAACCGGAAATTTGCCTTCCAAAGATGAAATGTTTTGCATAGCCAAGGTTTAGGCTAGCGCTTGATATCATCCTAAATAGGCACAACTTCCCCGCTAGATTTTTAGAATATAAAACGGCTTCGGTCGAGGAAATCCCCCCCCACGATTCTTGTGGATTTCTTCTAGTCGTCCTGACAGTCTTGAACAGCGAAAGCCTCGCCCCCAACCACCATCTCACGACCACCTCTCAGCACACACCTGCCTCTCATCTCCTACCGCTACTCCAGCCTCGAATGCTAAATATCCGGCTTAAGCTGAGCTCCATACATTGAAAAGTCGAGCTAGAACGTTCGAGAAGGGAAGTACTTCACTAGAAATCGTTTGGAAAGAATTTCAAGAATTTTGAAAGTTACCAATCGGACTTCACCCTCCCTCGCCGATATTGGGCAGCTCACGTCTGTTCCACCTGAAATTTTATGCTAATATTTGAATGTTTCGCTGATATGTTTTGCATGTTCTGATAGCAAATTTCGTGCTCTATAACACTGCTATAGAAATCTGTTCTCCAGAGGTGTTTGCTTTCTGTTAAGTTCAGGTTATCATTACGGAACGCGAAGTCGTTGAGAACTAGCGTTCCGTTCTCCACGAGAATTTTTCAATGCTAACATTTGAATGTTTCGCTAATGTGTTCTATATGTTCTGATAGCCAATTTCGTGCTCTATAACATAGCATAAAAGCCAGTTCTCCGGAGCTGCTAACTTTCTGTAAGTTCAGAGTTAAGTCTTTAGACTAACGTGAGTCGATGATAATTAAAGCGTTCCCGATTTCTCTGCCCTAAACTGTCCACGGAAGCTTCAATCCCGCTAGATGGCAGCTCAATAGAATCGCCATGGTTTGAGTAAGGCTCAGAGTAACAGATTAGAATTGGCACAGCTCCTAGCGAATTTCCCGAGCAGCATCAGCAGCTCTGATACGCAGTTTGTTGTAATCGAAAAGGATGCGATGTCTGAAGTGCTGATGCTTATCGACTTGGCATTCCATATTATCCACCTGAAAACAAGGTTCATAAAACGGATTTTTAAAATAACTGCAACGCAGTGTTATAGAGAGCACAAAATTGGCTATCAGAACATATAGAACACATTAGCGAAACATTCAAATGTTAGCATAAAATTCGTGGAGAACGGGAACGCTACTTCTCAACGACTTCGCGTTCCGTAATGATAACCTGAACTTAAGAGAAAGCAAACACCATCCGGAAACAGAAATTCTAATAGCAGTGTTATCATGAGCACATGAAATTTGCTATCAGAACATGCAAAACATATCAGCGAAACATTCAAATATTAGCATAAAATTTCAGGTGGAACAGACGTGAGCTGCCCAATATCGGCGAGGTGAAGGTTGGTAACTTCAAAAATTCTTGAAATTTCGTTCTAGAAGCGTCCTTATGTGAGATTACTGCTGAAACTGTCCTTAGCTCGACCTTTTCCCAATGTAGATGGAGGCACTTAAGCGATTTTAAGCACTTCACTAATACTAAATAAGAAGCAGTTTGTCGAAAGGTGTTAATTTTCGGGCACTTCGCTTTCAACTTCTAGCGACTCAAAAAATCCCAGAAAAATTATCCTTCGACTCGAAGGCCGTGTTGGATATTTAAAACTACGTGAATTTACTAATCAGATGATTCAATGCTTGTTAGTCAAAACGTTTCATGCTTTAGACACGAAAATTTCCAGTTTGAAAAAAACGAAAAGTATTATGTGGCCAACCAATAGTAAGCTTTTACTCGTTTTGTTGTATTCCCATATTATTTGGCACAAGCCGCGGCAGAGAAGTCATCCCCAAGTCTAAGAATGTTTCAGACCGATCCCGTGATAAAGTTACAGCTACGAATATCCTGATGTGCAGAATCCCTTCTTTTTACATGTTAGCTCCTTTCGCAGATGATGTGTCGCTTTCGTAGCTCGAATCTGAGTGACATGGTTGCCAGAGGTCCGCCATGAAAGAAGGACCCGCCCATGAAGGTCGTCCAACTCTTTTTCATTTCATGATTACTGCATTGCAGTACGGTCTCGCTCATTTGTACGTTCTCTCCCAATTTCATTGTCAGTCTCTCCTTTGTACACCCACTGTCTTCTCGCACTATGCCCGTTCAATGCCTAGAGCTGACGGGGTCCTATTTAGGGTGTTTCCGACGGTTTACTTTGCGTTTTATCTTGGTGTCTCAATACTACACACTCTTTTGTTTCTCAACTCCACCAGTTCCCTCCAATTACTAGGAATGATGGATTTTTTTCTGAGGCTCACATGGAAAGGAAAAAGCTGACAATCTTCGGAAGAAATTTGTGTTAGATTATAAATCAAAGTTCTACCTTCAGAGAAAGGAGAAGGATGCCGAACAGTCGGAGCTGAAGCCATAATTGTTCCACCACCTGGCTGGCTTGTTGACTGGATAGGAAGCGATTGTGACGAGCTCGAAGACGCTACACTACTCGGCGCCATTACCACATTCATAATTCGCGTTCCTTGCGTGAAGCCTCTCCTTTAAAAGCTTTAGGGTAACCCCAAACTAAATTAAAGACCAACTTTACTACTTACGGAACAGCACGAAGTTGATGCGGTTGGCCGGCTCGTGACGGTACCATTACAGCGGTCATCTATAAATGATTGGGAATATTGATGGGAAATCCTTTGGAAAATTGAGCTATAAAAAGCAAACAAACCGGTGCCTTCTGTCCGATGGTCCTTTTTGGAGGGGGTAGACGTTGTGTGGAAACCATTCGAATTTGCTGTTGGGGAACAACATACGAACGATCGCCAGATTGGGGAGCTTGTTGAACGAACATGCGAGGAGCAGCGGGCTGAAAACCACAATAAAAACGTTTTTTGGCCAAATATGACCCTTCTCCATGAAAATAATAACATTACCCATAAATGCAAGCGAAATTCGTTCACTCTATGCAA